CACCACCACCACCACCACCACCACTACCACCACCTTTTCTCTGCACCAAAAATATTTAACCACCATAAACTCAAAAACTCAGCTCAGCTAACACAAACAGCTTTTAAAGTATGTTCAAGGCCCATGGAATGACAGTTAAGTGCCATCAATAGATGTACATTTATAAATTGCAGTTTTATCCGAACCAACTAACACTTTCACTCAAAATACCTATTAGCGGAACTGCTAACATGACCTCTATCTGCAGCATAGTAATGCTCTACTCCAGTTTTTCCCCATTGATTGTTTTAATTGCTATAACCCGAGCTGAATTAATTAAATGATCTTAAAGAAATACATTTAACAGCAGTTAATTATTTCAGCTCCAGTTATTGCAATGGGAAATACTTTTGGGAGATCTAAAGCGAAGCATCATCATGTGGTAGAAAAAAAAAGGTAAATGAATGAGGCTTGTATTAGTAAAAGTAATATCAGCGCCACATTTTAATGTAGTGCTCATCCATGCCATTTTTCCTATGATTTATATGTAACGGAGCTGGGACAGGTACACTTCAGCCAAATCCGATCATTTTCCATTGAAACTGACTTATTGCCCTTGAAAAGTTTGTTCAGTCCCTCCCAAAAATACTGCTGAATCTGGCTGAAATAAATAGTCTACTTAAAGGAATACCTCCCAACTGTCCCTCATTTGTATCCAAATCCCTCTGTGCCTCTTTCCTCCTTAGTTGTCCCTTTTTTGGTCTGATATACAGATACTGTATCTATGAAAATGTTCTATTTAACTCCAAAATCATTATTCTGCACTAAAACCTTTATGTTGTCTATAAATTATTTTGTTTGCTATTTTGAAAAAGCCAATATAAAGGAAAAGTCATGGTGGGAAAAAAAAACAATTCTTGGTTTCACCAATCATATTTGGCCATAAAATTCTTAATGGCCACATAACTGGAGGTGGCTAGGAGTCTGTCCATTGCCTTAAAATGTATTTCCACTTTTGCAGTAAAAATTGAGAAAACCCCATTACATGTTTGTTATGTGTTCCCATTCACACAGCATAGCGAAAAATAATTAAAAAAAGATATATCTTGCCTTTTAGATGTGTTTATGTAGTAGCCTTTAGAGCTTCTCTCTCAATTTCCAAGTGGCAGAAAGCTCTGTCTGTCCCAAAAGAAAGTCCAGGGACAGATTGAGCCTCCTC